GTACCCAACATCAGACAGCAGACAGTCTAGATGTACCCAACATCAGACAGCAGACAGTCTAGATGTACCCAACATCAGACAGCAGACAGTCTAGATGTACCCAACATCAGGCAGCAGACAGTCTAGATGTACCCAACATCAGACAGCAGACAGTCTAGATGTACCCAACATCAGGCAGTCTAGATGTACCCAACATCAGGCAGTCTAGATGTACCCAACATCAGGCAGCAGACAGTCTAGATGTACCCAACATCAGACAGCAGACAGCCTAGATGTACCCAACATCAGACAGCAGGTAGTATAGGTGTACTCAACATCAGACAGCAGGTAGTATAGGTGTACTCAACATCAGACAGCAGGTAGTATAGGTGTACTCAACATCAGACAGCAGGCAGTATAGGTGTACTCAACATCATACAGCAGGCAGTATAGGTGTACTCAACAACAGACAGCAGGCAGTATAGGTGTACTCAACATCAGACAGCGGGTAGTATAGGTGTACTCAACATCAGACGGCAGGCAGTATAGGTGTACTCAACATCAGACGGCAGGCAGTATAGGTGTACTCAACATCAGACAGCAGGCAGTATAGGTGTACTCAACATCAGACAGCAGGTAGTATAGGTGTACTCAACATCAGACAGCAGGTAGTATAGGTGTATTCAACATCAGGCAGCAGATAGTATAGGTGTATTCAACAGCAGACAGTATAAATGTTCTCAACATCAGACAGGTAGTAAAGATGTATTCAACATTTATCTGCAGGTAGTGTAGGTTTACTCAAAATCATGCAGCAAGCAGTTTTGTAGGTATTTAACTTCAAGCAGAAGGTAGTAAAGGCAAAGGTGTACAGAATCTTATGTGGCCGTTGCTGTCATTTGGGCCTTACAGAGTAATAATGTAAGTGGCTGCTAAGCTAATGATGAAAGGTCTGTGAAATGTCTCCCTCACAGCAGAGTGAAGAAACTGTTTGATGAGATTTTAGTTGGTGTGCTATCTAAAAATGAACAGGAAATTTCTTGGGCGCTGCCTGAGATGAAATGCAATTTGATTAATTAATTCCTTGTAGCTTGGCTTGCCATTTGAGAGCTTGTCAACTACTGTGATATTTTGCCTGTTTTTATTGAAATTGTTGACTGTATGAAATCTGTTTGAAGTGAGGTTTTCTGTGAGATAAGTTGTTGTAGTCCCCAGAGACACTGTCAGATGGGGACAGTTGTTAATTAAAATAAAACTCCTGAAACACTTTCATCCAAATGTTGGTGATAGTTGATCCTTGGCCATGTTTTGCTGTATGTGTATGTGTGTTAATGTTATCAGTAAGGGCATCTGGGTCATGCAAAATGTATTGCCTCTGGGATTATTTCTTTTAAAAGATGATGGAGTTGCTTGCCAAATTAAGCTGATTTAGAGCTCTTTGAAATTTTTGCTACATGCCCATTGAGATTAGAACTCTGCTCAGCAATGTTTCCTGCAAGAAATCAGCACACATGATGGTGTAAACACCTGATCATGGCACAAGTATTCATTTCCTAAGGATTTGATTTTCATGATATTCTACTTGGAAATAATTTTGAAAACTGTATGACTGTATTTGTTAAATGTGCAGTGCACCCATCAGCTACTGAACATGCCAAGACAATCCAACATTTACACTCTCCCCCTACCCTCACACACCAACATCCACACGCTCCCCCAACCCTCACACACCAACATCCACACACTCCCCCAACCCTCACACACCAACATCCACACACTCCCCCAACCCTCACACACCAACATCCACACACTCCCCCAACCCTCACACACCAACATCCACACGCTCCCCCAACATCCACACGATCCCCCAACCCTCACACACCAACATCCACACACTCCCCTAACCCTCACACACCAACATCCACACGCTCCCCCAACCCTCACACACCAACATCCACACACTCCCCCAACCCTCACACACCAACATCCACACTCTCCCCCAACATCCACACGATCCCCCAACCCTCACACACCAACATCCACACTCTCCCCCTACCCTCATACAGCAACATCCACACTCTCCCCCTACCCTCATACAGCAACATCCACACTGTCCCCCTACCCTCACACAGCAACATCCACACTGTCCCCCTACCCCCACACAGCAACATCCACACTGTCCCCCTACCCTCACACAGCAACATCCACACGATCCCCCAACCCTCACACACCAACATCCACACGCTCCCCCTAGCCTCACACACCAACATCCACACTCTCCCCCTACCCTCATACAGCAACATCCACACTGTCCCCCTACCCTCACACAGCAACATCCACACTGTCCCCCTACCCCCACACAGCAACATGCACGCTCAGCCCTACCCTCACACAGCAACATCCACACTCTCCCCCTACCCTCACACACCAACATCCACACCGTCCCCCTACCTTCACACACCAACATCCACACTCTCCCCCTACCCTCACACACCAACATGCACACTGTCCCTCTACCCTCACACACCAACGATCACACTGTCCCCCTACCCTCACACACCAACATGCACACTCACCCCTACCCTTACACACCAACATGCACACTGTCCCTCTACCCTCACACACCAACGATCACACTGTCCCCCTACCCTCACACACCAACATGCACACTCACCCCTACCCTCACACACCAACATGCACACTGTCCCCCTACCCTCACACACCAACATCCACACACTCCCCCTACCCTCACACACCAACATCCACACTCTCCCCCTACCCTCACACACCAACATGCACACTGTCCCTCTACCCTCACACACCAACATCCACACGCTCCCCCTACCCTCACACACCAACATCCATACTGCCCCCGTACCCTCACACACCAACATCCACACTCTCCCTCTACCTTCACACACCAACTTCCACACACTCCCCCAACCCTCACACACCAACATCCACACACTCCCCCCTACCCTCACACACCAACATCCACACGCTCCCCCTACCCTCACACACCAACATCCATACTGTCCCCCTACCCTCACACAGCAACATCCACACTCTCCCTCTACCCTCACACAGCAACATCCACACTGTCCCCCTTCCCTCACACAGCAACATCCACACTGTCCCCCTTACCCTCACACACCAACATCCACACTGTCCCCCTACCTTCACACACCAACATCCACACTGTCCCCCTACCCTCACACACCAACATCCACACTCTCCCCCTACCCTCACACACCAACATGCACACTCTCACTCTACCCTCACACACCAACATCCACACTCTCCCCCTACCCTCACACACCAACATGCACACTGTCCCTCTACCATCACACACCAACATTCACACTCTCCCTTACCCCCACACACCAACATCCACACTCTCCCCTACCCCCACAAACCAACATCCACACTCTCCCCTACCCCCACACACCAACATCCACACACCAACATCCACACTCTCCCCTACCCTCACACACCAACATCTTCCCTGCCATCTCGACACTTCTATGCTCCTTCTGTACCTTATAGGCAACAATTGACAGTTCTTAACACATAATAGGTTGAGAAATACACATTACTCCAGCATAATAGCCAAACTAGCCAGCAGCAAGTTTGAATGACTGCAGCAATTACCATGTACCCAAAAATGAAGGGAAACTAATTGACAGTGACTTATCAAATTACGTGTATAATAGCATGTCCGTTATTGGCTGTGCCCCATAACACTGTAGGCAGGGACGTGGCCTGTACTCCTGTCCTCTAATGTGCCAAGGGGCATGTGTTTAAAGGAAGTATTTTTGGTAAATGCAAATGGAATGTTTGACCTTGTTTGTAACTACTTTAGATAGGCAAATTGTTCTGAAGTATTTTTGGAAGATGGCGCCACATTTAGAAAATCACTTGTCTCCATGTTGAGTGTTGTGAGGCTGGTTATTATGAGGATATCAGTGGCAATGAGTCTCTCAGTGGCTGAGGATGTCGCACTCAGTTAGGGGGAGCACAGCCTGCACATACAACCCAGTCTCACTTCATGGTCATACAGTGCTGGCCCCAACACAAACAAGGAGCAATGGACTATAGAAAAGCACATTAAATATTCTTTAATGCATTCGCTTTTATTCACAAGTTTCTAAATGAATGTACATGTGTAATAGAGTAATTGTGATGTAACATCATTTCACTGAAAAAGGACACAATCCTGATTTTTAGTTCATTGAGGAAAACTCATTTTGATGGTGTCAACTCTGCTCTCTGCCTTGTTCATCCTTGATGTTTATTGTCTTTTAATAGCTCCGCATGTTTTAGACCAATGGAATTTATACAATGATGACAATGTTGATTGATGCGCCAACCCCTTTCATTGTCTTTTGTTTTCTGAGGGACTGAAACTAATGTTGATGAATTGTTTACCAAATATAGTGTTTAGATAGTCCATCATAAAACATAAGTCAAGTTTGATAACTTTCCAACCTGTCAACATTGAATGTCAAAGATCAGACCAAAATATATTGAAACTGGATGATAAATTGGATAAATAATGATGGATTCACACAAATAACCATCAATATTGAGCCAAATGATGAGTTGGAATCGTCAAAGGTGAAGGTCATGGACAAATAACCTTCAATAGCTGGCCAAATGAGCCTTTGTTAGCAAGGTCATGGGTGAAGATGATGTCTTAGATTGGCTTGATATATTGATCTACTGATGATCACAAATAAACGAGGACTTTCATTGTGCATTAAAGGTCAAGTTTAAAAGCCATCTTAATTGCTCATTATCATATGCCCTGCAACATGCCCACTGTTCAGCACTATGAATTTAATTCAATTGCAGGTTTTTACGTCTCACAACGAGGAACAGAAAAAACAGGAAACCTTTATCATGTATAAATAACTTCTTTATAGCCACTAGATTGACTATAATGTCAAAATTTGGGATATTTAAAAAACAAAAATTAAGAGTTTAAGTTAAGCAGTAATTATGGCTCTGTTTATCTTCAGATTTGACTATGGTGAGAAGTTCTGGATTATCAAATGGAAACAGTTCACATGCGCCTGTCAGTCACCAAAATGCAAATACTCCTCCGAGACCATCCACAAGACTCTCCAGGAATATCGACTCCGACACGATGAGGAAGACCCCAACAATCCCGACAACTAAGGTCAAGGTCAACATTAGTAATCTTCACCTTCAACGTGTGTTTGGGAAACTGAGAATGGCGAAAGTCAAGACACTGGTGTTTATACTCTTTTGCATTTATTTGTCAGATAATATTCTTTGTGTGTTGTACTAAATCTTTAGTATGATGGAATTGAGTGCATGAAGTGCATGGATAAAGACTGATCTTATAGCGACTTCTGTCAAATGTAACTACTATTTCATTGACAGGAGACAAATGTTGTACATTTCATTGTTATGATTTATTACATTGTAACAGTGTGCCTGTCAATCATAATGTCATGTTGAATGTTGATGGTCCATTAGAGTCTAAGTGTTGTAGGAATGGAGCATGTCATTGTAGATTATCATACTGACCTTCAAATTGTATAGGCTGATCAGTTCAAGCTCATCACTCATTCTCATATGACAGTGTTGTTAATTACATACTTAGTGGAAATGGTTATATACATGTCATGTCGTGTGACGTCAGTGTAATTTATTTCAAATATGTGCCATTTCGTTGCTGTGTGACTATTCTAAGATATTCTGGCTGTTTCAAAGTGTAGGTTGTCAATTTCACAGATATGGTGTCTGCTCCCAAATGGCCGCGTCACATTCCATCTGTCACTGACCCGGCCACTTTGTGTTGACATCCATCACCGAGACTTGGACGTCTATTTCACGTCTGCGGTCATATCACCTTTCATCCTAACACTGTCATTTATTGAAACAATTGGATATGTAAATTTGTGAAATTACGAGGTTACAACTTGTGTGGGGCAGGGCTATCAATAACCTTACTTCCTACACATTTGTATGGGACATTGTTGCATTTGTTGTGCGTAGATTAACCCTGCTGCTTGCTCATTGACACAGCCATATTCAGCTTGTACCTGACAACACACGTCTACTACACACTAACACATTATAATCCACAGACTCCCCGTCATGCAAATTCTAAAACAAGTGTGTAGTACATGTGCTCCATTTGTGATTTAGAGCACATGTGGAAATACTCTGGACTAATTTTGGTGTACGTTCACCTTTTCATTAGACAGTGACTATTATGTTTCTGTATACTCCATGGCCTATTTGATGTGGGCTCTTCCCCTGAGTTGGTGTTCCCCCACTGTATCCCACTGGCCTGTTTTGTTGTGTAGAGTGGAGATGATGATGTCCCTTGCTTGATGACAGCAGCAGCCGCAGCAGCAACTTATCCCAGCTGTTGCAGCACATATAAAAAGAGTACTTCCGAACATTACCAATGTTTTATTAATAATGTTCCTAAACATTGCATCTGTCATTATTGAGTACTCTATAGTTCTAGCAACAAACATGATTTTCAGACTTAAGCAAATATCTGAGGGTTTCAACCAAATTCTATTCACCTATTTGTAACAGTAGGTAACACCTGCCAATATCAATGAAAATCCTTACTTTTCAAACAAATGTAAGTCTCCCTCAGGTTAATTAACTCAGTTACACTTTCCATATATTTTTATTCAAATAATAGGATGTTGATGGATATGATAGGGCAATTTTTGCCTCCAGGAATGGACAGAGCTGACAACAATGGATGTTTTCAGGAATTAATAATGTTTTTTTTCACAATTCCAGATTGAAAATGTTTTTCAGCAAATTTTGAAAATTATTTCTTTCTCATGTGTGGTTAGAAAAATGTAAGACATGTACGCTGTGAAACTGATTTTCCTTGTCAGTAATGATAATGACAGTTTAAATTCTAACACTATCACTATTGATCTTGAAGAGGTCTTTCTGTACAGGTGATACATAGCTAACTGGAAGGATGCTGGGATGAGAGCAGCCCTGTCCCTGTCTGTCGGTGTTTACCTCTGTTGTGTTAAGTTGTTAACACAAATGTTCTTCTGTTAAGTATGTGTAACCGTGATGAAGATGCCTATGTACATAGCCTATATATCGTGTGTGTACTGTACATGGTATGTGTAACGTGACAACGTCAGTGGTGTTTATCATTGGTTTGGGAAGCATGTTAAAGCCTGATCTACTTTGCTTTTAGTAATAGATTTTATTCACTTTTTCTTTGCCATTGATTTATCTCTGACCTTTCACACACCTGCTTTCTTTAATGAAGTGTTTACATATTTGATGAAGTGTGAATAATCCCTACTTTCTGTTAGAACTTCACAGGCAATGCTAGACTATCATCCTCGTCATTTTTCTCATACCAGCTGGCAGTAGAGATATGAAATACCTGCTCTTAGTTGTATTTTCAATTAGGTCAATTGGAAATACTTTGTAAATCCAGTGAACTATAATTTGCAGCACTCCTGATTGTGGTAATTTGATACTGGATTGCTGTGTTTTACACACAGGGCTGGACTAGAGCGTTTACAGCAAGTAAGGTTAGCAGGAGGGGTTCCTTGCCACAGAGCTGAGGTGCATGTACAATAATGTATTGTTTTGGAAGCATATTTTACATAGATAACATCCTGCTGGAAACAGGCACATAAATTAAGTAAAAGTGTGAATCAGTGTCAACTGAATCAATTTTTTGTGCTTTTTTTTAATTGATGATTTCTTTTTTATAAGTTAGTACTACCACTGGACTTCATCATATATGCGGGGCGGTCGGGTAGCCTAGTGGTAAAAGCGTTCGCTCGTCACGCCAAAGACCTGGGTTCGATTCCCGACATGGGTACAATGTGTGAAGCCCATTTCTGGTGTCCCCTGCCGTGATATTGCTGGAATATTGCTAAAAGTGGCGTAAAACCGTACTCACTCACTCATCATATATGCTGACTCTTTGAAGATGCAATTTTCATGTTTTTTAATCATCTATGCAGTTTACATTTATGAATTAAATTCCCTCAGTTAAGAGAGAGAGTGAGAAAAAATAACAAGAAAGATTGAAACATGTTTACATAATTGTTTACATAAATGTTTACATACTTATACAGGCAGTTTATGAAATCAAAGAGAATCAACAGTGGGAGTTATTTTGTTTTGTGTCATGGGGTTCCTGAAAAATACTGCATAATGTGTATGAAATCTTTAGCATCTGAATGCAAAATTTGCCATAGAAAATCATTGAAAAAAAATATTCCTTTGAAATTGTCTGCAGTGAGAATTGCATTTTCATAGTGTTTCTATATATGAATATACATACAGTTCACTCTGGCTAATTTGTAATCAACTCTGGTGTGTTAGAACAGTTTCTTGTTGTTGACTTAGTCATAGTTGACTTTCATGTATCCATAGCGACTGTCAATGAGAGGAAGGACTCTGGAATTGCTAAATGTCTGTTTTGTAAGAGGAGGATGCAAAAACATGTTATGAGAAGTATTTTAGGAACCTTTTATGTTCATGATCTTGAAGAACCACTATCTTTTGATACTAATTTGCTATACTTGCTGTTGAAGAGAATGTTCTTTCTTCTGTTGTTGCCTGTGGTTTTCCTGGCTACACATTGCTGGAACCTCCAACTTTTCTGTGTAGCTGATAGTCTGCAAATCAGCCGTTTGTGGAGGAAAACAACATGATGAAATATTTTAATAATGATGAAATTATATTATTCAAGATTATTGTCCTTGACTGAAACCATTTGTTTGTCATTTCTCATCTTACTGCTTTTCTGTAGTGGCCTCCAGCTCATCAAGTGAATAAACATCATGATTCCATGTAGCACCTCACTGTTCTCCTTATGCACCAATGCTGTTATATTGGCCCAACAGTAATAAATCCAACCGCGTCCAGGCAAACCAGTTTTTTGCAGCATGTTCAATGTCTGTCATAACTAACAGACCCTCACTAGACCTATTCTATCCGGAGTACCCGTAGAGATGCAAATAGAAGCATACAGCTGGGTGTGTTTTTATGGTGGAGAAACTCGGGAAAGGGGCAGTACCCTAGTTTGTTTTCACAGCTACTATAATCTGATGGAAACAATGTTTGCTGAATAGGGTCACTATTTGAATGCAGGCATAGTCAATACTTCAAGCGCAAGCAGCAATGTTTCTCGCTTGACATCATGCTCTACATAGTGCTTCAATGTCAGGCAGTGGACATCTTCCCGAGGCAAGAGAGTTAACTGACTATAAAAGTCCAGTTTCCACCCTTGCCGAAATAGGCTGGTACTATGGAGTTACATTTTGGCTGGACTAACGAGTCTATGCATAGTCCAATCAAAATCGCGCACCGAAATCGAAATCTGGTTCGTAAAGTGTCATGCAGATTTCGGTCGACTGCAGGATTTGCAAAGCATGTGCACCGCTAACTCGTTGTCAACAGATATTTTCTAAATCTTTTCATGCTTTTAATCAAGGTGCTCACGTGATTTGATGCAATTCGCGATGTAAGACTCGTTTTATCACAATATAGATCTTGATTATCAATCAGATCGTCTTGACTGGGCGCCACCGTTATGTTTGAAGCAAATGCAAGAGATACGAGAGGTTGAATCTGAATGGTCAATGGGAGAGGCATAGAAAGGACATAACTCGTAATAGCCACTGGTGGCGCTACGTTCGAGCCCAGGATTTCCAGCCTAGTTCGGCAAGGGTGGAAACTGGACTTTTAAAGTCAGTCAACTCTCTTGCCTCGGGAAGATGGGCAGTGGAATGGTTTGCACTAAGTTCATGCGTCATAACATGAGCTCGCTAAAATTAGACTTGTTACCATAACACCCCATATGTGCCCTATGTATTCACTGACGATGGATGACTGTAGAGGGCGTAAAACATGCCCATTACATATTGACTGAATAAGTTTCAACTTTCATCTGCCATCTGATCTGCTAGTTTTTGTGATGCAGAAAGTATGAACTATTTTTCCACCAGAGGCCCATTTACACTGGCACCTGTGATAAGTATTAGTACATCACGTCCCAGGTGCTTTAGCTGGATCCTATCAGGCTTTTCCTTGAACGTGGGGTGGCGGAAATTCTGACCCTATCATGGACTGCGTTGGTAGAGATGGTTGCTAAGTATGTCTCAACAATCTCTCCTCCATGGTCAACGAAATTCTGTCAACCATGCTGGACTGCCTGGATCCCACCGGGGGAGAAGTCTTCCTCCTGGTATAGTAAAAAATCCTCCACAGCAAAAATGGCGTCCTCATTTGCATATTGCTTGCTAGACACTAATGCTTGCCGTAAAAGGCGACTAATGGGATCGGGTAGTCAGGCTCGCTGACTTGGTTGATGCATGTCTTCCTCTCCCTTGTGCGTGGATCGATGCTCATGGTGTCAGTCACTGGATTATCTGGTCCAGACTTGATTATTTACAGACCACTGTCATATAGCTGGAATATTGCTGAGTGCAGCGTTATACAACAAACAAACAATTAATAGACTCAACAAGAATATATCTTTGTTGTTGAATTTCTTTACAATACATTTATGCATGTTTGATTATATCATATGCAAATGTGCCGCCTAAACATTCATCTGTTAGTATATTGTAGGTTTGGTTTAAACATATTTTATTCACAAAGAGTGAATGGTAGTTGGTACAAGTTCTCCAACTTCTCCCAGGTATTTACAATTACAGTCCGTTTGACTCCAAATGAGAACGATGAATTGCAAAATAACTCGAAATCCAGAAAAGTATGAAACATCAATACGGTACTTGACCATGAATACCCTGTACCCAACAAAATCTGAATTTTGTTTATTTTAATGATGATGAAGTTCTTTAAGAAACTATCGTGTATTGTGTACATGACACGTAGGGGGGACAAACCGTGGAAGGCACAGCGCAAGCACGCATGCACTGCACGTTCTGTGGTAGGGGAAGTGACAGAGCGTTAGAGGGGCCGTCTCATGATAATTTCAGTCGCAATCTGACTCGCTCATGCCATAGATCTCGTCGTCGAAACTGCTGGTGCCTGAACCGACTGCCACTATTATAGGTTGGACAGTTGCTGGCCGTAGTCCATCTCGTGACCAATAACGTGGCTCTATCTCGTCAACGACTGTGGCCACACAACGCCTCCATGTTTCTACTGTTACCCGACCAAGGGATTCCTTTACGTTGTTCAACGTCTCGTAATTTGAACGTTGTGTTCGATCGTTCAACGTCACCCTTGACGATGCCCCATACCAACCAGATTGGATTCAGGTCGCAGTGATAAGGTGGCAGTCGTAAGACAGCGTGACCCTGACCCTTGATGTAACTGTCAACTGTATACACGGGGTCAGGTTTCATAGTTTTGATGATTTCATAGAGCTGTGGTTTCGTCGCTCGAGAATGAAAGGTAATGTTCCTCCGTTGCAGCCAAGTAACCATGTCTCCTTTACGGTTATTAGAGATTGGAGTCTTGCTTTCTGGATCCTGCACACTATGATACGGTGCATTGTCCATGACAATGAGAGACTTGGTAGGCAAAGCAGGGACTAATTTATCTTTCACCCACTCCAGAAATACATTGCTGTGTGATAGTCCCTGTTGTCTTTGGCCTTGGCTCTAAAGACGAGGTCACAGTCTGGGAGAAAAACCCTGACTAGCAGAACCAGCATGGAGAACTATGAGTCTTTCACCCTTTCCCATTGGTAACTTTCTACCAGACTCCTTACAGTCACCACTGGGTACCCACTGACTGCTGGCTGTGTGTGACGCATTTACCCATGTCTCATCATATCCTCCATCTGCTTGATGGTACGACCGTAACGTAGGTAATGATTTCGGAGACGAACAATGTCAGACCGTTCACACAACACAGCCCTATTTTCTCCAGTTTTCTTTTTGTATTTGTAACCAAATGTATGCAACAGCTGCCATAGTTTGTACTTTGTAACACGTAAAGCATGGTCAGTTTCAAGGTGTTTCTTCAAAATTCTTAGGGACAGGTACTTATTTTCTGAGTGCAGTTTAACAATTGCACGTCTGACTTTATCCCTCTGAAAACTGTCTAATTTATCAACCTTGCGTGGTTTTGACATGTTCCCTACCGCCTTGGCCTGACTATTTGTATCTCGTCGACTAACAACATTTTTCAGTTTCTGAGGGGACATACCAAGAGCTTTTGAAGCTCGTTTTAAGAATGTATTAATTGCATAAAAAGGCTTAGCTCTTTCTGCTTCACTTCTAAAGAAATCATACACATTCAACATCAACTGTTTAACATCTGCTGAGTAGCGCATCTTGTCATTGAATGAACACGGTCACTGTTTAGCACGTGCAGACCGTGCTTGCGCTGTTCCTTCCACGGTTTGTCCCCCTACGTGTCATGTACACATTTCTATACAAAATTACATGATAGTTTCTTAAAGAACTTCATTCGTCATGGGTCTTGAAATAAACAAAATTCAGATTTTGTTGGGTACAGGGTATACATGTTCAAGTACCGTATTGATGTTTCATACACTTTTCTGGATTTCGAGTTATTTTGCAATTCATCGTTCTCATTTGGAGTCAAACGGACTGTAGTACTAAACATGAACCGAATAGAAGGAAAGAAAAGATAAGGAAAGGCAGGTAAAAAAAGGAGAAAAATATAGTTGACAAATCTCTTTGTATTACATATATAACAATGTACATAATTCAATATTTTTATGTTATCTTGTTCTGGTAAATCCCTATTTCCATTGAATATCAAACATCAGTTGGTTCATCTTTGGCTATTCGGCTTATATACTGAACAACAAAAGTTCCTGTGACAAAAAGATTTAATGCAAAGTTATTTTTTTGGCCAAATCTGAAACAATTTCGGTTTGCAACAGATAACAGACTCCCGTAAGTGTTCAAATGGTTGAATTTGCCATACTGACTTCAGAAAATGCGTGATTTCATAAAAAAAAAACCATGAACATGCCAAAATGTCAATTTACAAATCAATAGCGTGTGTCCACCTCTGGTTGCGATGCAAGCAACACATCTTCGTGGGCCAGGCATCGCACAAAGTCCTGTTGGATATCTGTCCATATCTGCTGGAGCATATTTCGAAGTTCCTTGAGTGTCTGTGGAACACGTGGTTGACGTCGAAGGCGCCGATCCATCTCATCCCAGATGTGCTTGGTTGGTGAGAGATCAGGGGAGCGAGCCGGCCAGGGGATGACATTCACGTTGTTTTGTTGAAGAGACTCCTGAACAAGTCGAGCAATATGAGGCCGGGCGTTGTCATGTTGAAAGATAATGCCTAGGCCCCGAGTAAAACGGTAGAACAACGGGGCCGATGATCTCGTCGCGGTAACGCTGTCCATTGGGATTTCCCTCTACTACTATCAAACGGGTCCTCTGTCTTGCTGTAATCCCACCCCATACCTTAACGCCGCCGCCCCCGAACCGATCTTCTTCCATGACACAATGATTTACGTAACGTTCACCTCGACGTCGGTACACTCGAATCCGTCCATCGCTGTGGCTGAGGTGAAAACGAGACTCGTCAGTAAATAGAGCTTGTCCCCAAGGCCGTCCAGCGTAGACGCTGTCTGCACCACTGTAGACGTGCTTGACTGTGGTTTCCTGTCAAAATTGGACGTCTGGCGGGTCTTCTGGCGACAATCCCTGCACATCTGAGGCGACGACGTACGGTTTGTGAAGATATTCGTCGAAGGCCAGGGATGCTTCTTGCAGTCACTGTTGCTGGCTGGAATCGACTTTGTAGGTGTGTTGTTCGAATCCAGTTGTCTTGTCGATTATTGGTTACGCGTGGCCTGCCACTCCGAGGATGGTCTCTGACT